AACTCTTGTGTAACAGCAGCAAATTTGTGTTATCTGGAGTTTTCTGTTTAAAAATCAGGCTTTGCACTGAGCAGCTACAAAAGATAAAAAGACAGCAGTAATCATTATGGAAAGCACTGATGAGAAACTAGTCTTAATAAAGATCACTGTCTCAGCAGGGTCTCCTGCTCTGGACGAGATGAGAGAGGCGAAGGAGACAGCCGAGTGTCAGGTACTCATGAATTACTCTTTTATCAAATCTTCCCTACTGATGACTGAATTACATTGTTGTATAGGAAGAATAGCAATCAGACAATTATTTGTTAAGTGGTTTAATGCGTTTTTGGATTGTGTGAAGTACAAACAGTCCATTTTCACATACGTCTCAACACAATTAAATGACAGGCGTTTAATTTAGTTGTGTGATAATGAAAGCGTACAATAATAACCCAGTTTCACATCTCTGAGGCAGAATGAGTACGTGTTGTTTAAATGAGTTAAATCTGCAATGGCAGATTCGTTTCCATTTGCATAAGCTATAGAGTTCATTCTCAGATCTTTATGTAAGTGCACCATGCAGGTGATAAAATGATGGTTTCTCCTCCCTAGTGCCGTATATGTTCAAATTGCCAGCCATTTGAGATTCACCCAAAGACAGATCATTTCCAGGAAGACTGTCTTGTAGTCTAAATAATGCTCTACTTTATAACAACTATGGATAAATGACCGTGTCAGACTGTTGATATGAATCACTGAATCATATATTATATATATTACGACTGTTAAATAATGTTGTTGTGTAACACCAAATGAAAAATGTATTTTTGCTTTTAAAAAAAAACAGAGAAATATAACCCACATGCACACAATGAACACAACACCTACAAGCCTTATTCTTTACCTTATTTTACTTCTGTCACTGTTGCACAGCTACTGAGAGGGACACGTAGTCGTTAACTGGTGCCCTGTGGTCAGGATGTGGATTTCAGAAGATTGAACCAAATACTTGAAACAATACTTTAGCAGAGCCAACAAGCAAAAAAAAAAAAAAACCTGGTTGTAGTTCAATGACTCTGATTTTCTGAACATGAAACATTGTGGCTTCTGGAGCAGATCCTCGTTTGTGGTTTATCCAATCACACGCGTGGAAAATATTTAGCTGAAGGCAGCTGATTGGATAAGAGATTAGCTACAGGCCTAGAGACATTAGTTCAGAAAAGGGAGAGTTTTCAAAGATTTTTCATTTTATTTACCCTCTCTGGTCTGATTAGCAAACAGCGACATGGCTAATTTATCGCTGTTGAAACCAGAATGTTTAAAGACTATTGTACAGAGAAAATGCGTCTATTCTCTCTGCGTCACTGGTATAAACTATCAATACAGTGTTGCTGCGTACTGGATATATTTTAAACTGCGGTAACAAACATGTCGTAAAATGTGGTTAAATATGAAATGTAAATATTAATTATCATGACTAATTATCGTGTGTGTGTGCGTGTGTGTGGCAGGTTGAATTCCTGAACTCGGTCATCGTGGATCTGCAGCGCAAGAACGAGGAGCTGAAATCGAAGCTGGAGAAGATGGCCGAGGCAGCACTTAATGGAAACACAGCCAGTGAGATGGACAACCACGAAAGGTGGACACTCCAGACTATTTACACCATAACATTTTAATGCTGCTCTCACAATAGTTTACATGTCATTCTGCATGAAAAAGTTCAGAGCAAAGTTCAGCTTCTTAGAAAAGCGCAGAATGATATTTTACTCCCGAACAATCGGGCCACGAACTTGGTTGGCAAGAAAAACAATCACAGAGAACAAAGTGCTTGTGGGAAAAAAATCTTGTTTGTGTGCGAATATAAGGAGATTTATGAAATGTTAAACTGAAAATATCAACTCTCTAAATATTCCAACATTGCAATGTACTTAAGTAAAATTAACAACTTGCGTATGTTTATATACAGACTGTGGCTGCATACAATCAAGTTACACAAGCAGCTCCTCCTGATTTTCTGTCTTCAAAGCTACAGCACAGGCAAACATCCTCCTCATCACCAGAACTACACCAAACTTTATTTCATATTTATTACTGATGATGATGAATCTAGTCTAGATAGCAAGCTAGGCTAGTCAGCTGATATTAGCTAGGGCGAGTAAGAGCGTTGTGTGAAAGCAGCCCAGAGATGTTGCCTGGTTACAGACATTTGTTAAATATATTTGTATAGTTTAACAATATTTCACAGAGTGGCTTTCATTTTAAGCAACTTCAGACGAAATGAGATGATGTGCTCCTAATCACCTAAAGAAATGTAGGCCGTTTTATTTATGAGTCGTTTACTTTAATAGCACAACATGCCTTTTTATCCGCAGCTTGTCCGAGTCTAAAACCAAAAAGAAACTGCCACCGCGCCTCTTCTGCGACATCTGCGACTGTTTTGACCTCCATGACACAGAGGACTGTCCCACGCAGGAGCAGCTGCCTGATTCTCCTCCTCACACGACCTACCATGGCAGCGCCAGTGATGAGAGGCCATACTGCGACACCTGTGAGATGTTCGGCCACTGGACCGAGTCGTGCAACGACGACCAGACCTTCTAAGCTGGCAATACCCTTCTGCAATACCGCACACGCCTTCAACAACACATTGCACAAGTGTGGAAATGTCCATCTGTAGTGTGCGTGCATGTGTGAGAGTGTGAGTGTGTGTGTGTGTGTATGTGCACGCATGTGTGCGTTCACTCGTTTGCCATGTCTCCCTACACAGTCCTCAGATTTAAAAAAAAAAAAAAAAAAAAAAAAAGTGTGTCTGGGATTTAATCGCTTTAATTTGTATTCATGAATGAAACAATATTGAATTCTTTAACAGACTGTTAAAAGAAAGATTGATCCATCTTGTTTTTTTAATCCATGCATTGAATTTGTAATAGCGGGTGATGGAGATCATAGCTTATAGTCACCATTCATTTTCGGACCTGTTCCAATCACCGCAGCAGGCATATCCTTGTCCTAAGTGTTTGAAAGGAAAGGGCGCTACAATGCTAATGCACTTTACTCCAACATCCTCTTCCCCAGTTTTCAGCTCGATGAAGAACAAGACGGTTTCGTAAACAGAATGTAATTCAAGGTTATATTGATGCTGTTACTTTTTAGTGTTTTTTTTTTTTTTTGGGAATATTATACATCTGTACAATAAGAAATAAATATTGTTTAAATCATGTTTTTGACTTTGACTGATTAGTCACACCTTTTATGAAGAGCTGCTTGAACTCGACACCAAACACGGGATTAGTATTGTTGTATTGTAGTATTGTAGATGGAGAATCGGCCAGTTCTCTACTGCAGATCATTTAGGCTCACAGGCAACCACAGGACAGTGTTGCTCAATGAAATACTAAATACTATAGTATATGCAGTTAAACCAAACGCCAAATTTAACACACACCTGAGCTAAAGACAGTCAAACTCCACACGTTATAGTTACCATACATTTCCTGTGTTAAGTCATTTTGGGTGTCTACTTTATTTCAAAAACAAAAATCTTGACAGATTTATTTCAGCTTTTATTTACTATATGATATTTTCAGTGGGGCGAAAGTTTACATTGTTTACTTTGTTAGTATTTGGTGGCATTGCTTTTTAAATGTTTAACTTGAATCAACCTCTTGGAGTAAACTTCCACAAGCTTCTCACAATATTTTGCCCTTTCCTCCTGACAGAACTGGTGTAACTCGGTTAGGTTTCTGGGCTTCCTTGCTAAGACATGCTTTTTCAGTTCAGTCCACAAATTTTCTATGGGATTCAGGCCAGGGCTTTGTGATGGCCACTCTATTACTTTCAACTGTTGTCTTTAAGCCATTTTGTTACAACTTTGGAGGTATGCGAATGATCATTGACCTGCTAGAGAACCCAGTTGTGACCAACTAATCTAACTTTCAGGCTGATGTCCAGTTTTTGCTTTAGTATTTCTAGATAATCCTCCTTCCTCTTGATGCCATCTATTATCTGAAGTGCACCAGCCACTCTTCCAGCAAAACGACCCCACAACATGATGCTGCCACCCCCATGCTTCACAGCTGGGACGGTGTTCTTCAGATTAAAAGCCTCCATGCCTAGTGCTGATCATTATGGCTAAACAGTTTGATTTTTGTTTCATCTGACCAGAGAAGTCTCCTCTAAAAAGCTGGTGATCACCTGCAAACTATTGTGTGTCTTTTATGCCTTGGTCTTGGAGTAGTGGGTTACATTTATGGCATTTGGCAGACGCCCTTATCCAGAGCGACTTACAATTATCTCTTTTATACAACTAAGCAGTTGAGGGTTAAGGGCCTTGCTCAAGGGCCCAGCAGTGGCAGCTTGGTGGTGCTGGGATTTGAACTCACAACCTTTCAATTAGAGGGCCAACTTCTTAATCACTGAGCTACCACTTCCCCTTGACGTCTTGCTTGTGCAACAGCCTTTAAGACCGTGATGATGTAGAACACTCTTACTGGTGGATGTACATATTCTGGTACCTGGTGCCTCCAGCTCCTTCACCAGCTCCTTTGTTGTTGTCTTGGGGGCAACAACCTTTCGGACAAATATTTGTTCATCCCTGAGTTAATCTGTGCCTCCATCCTGAACGATTGCACCTTGCAGCTGAACCGGTGGAAAAATGTTAAATGTTAAATTCTCCACTTAACTTTAGAAGACTAGAAGTGTGCGTCGGGACGGGGATCCTGCAGGACCCAATAAAAAAGACGTGGATGTCTTTAACTGGTGTATGGAGCCCCACTGGTGACATCCTTACTTCATAAAAATAATAAGTGGCCATGATTTATTAACGTGTGGGAATGACATCTCGTTCCCTTGTGTTACTGAGTCATGGCCATGCATTAGGATCTCTTTTGCAAGTGTCATGGCCACACATTTTTTTTTATTAAGTAGGGATGTCACCAGTGGGGCTCTGTATAATACAATCTCTGAAGTTGGCTATTGATGGTCATCCCAAAATTTTTAACCCTGACAGTGTGGAACACTCCGCTGCCCTGCTAGCTCAGCCAGTAGCGCATGGGACTCTTGATCTCCGGATTATGGGTTTGAGCCCCACGCTGGGTGCCAACTCCAGCCGCTGGTGGTGCATAGGCTAGTGTACTCTCAGTGCTGGTCCCAAGCCTGGATAAATGGGGAGAGTTGTGTCAGGAAAGGCATCTGGTGTAAAGCCTGTGCCAAATCAGTATGTGCACAATGGAAGGTGATCCACTCTGGTGACCCCTAACAGGAGCAGCTGAAAGAACAACAACAATGTGGAACAATCCATGTTCGCTTCCAGAATTACCACTTTCCAGTAAATAAAACGTTCACTTCCCAGCTCACTCATATACTTAATCATGACACACATGGTGATTTACACTTCAAGCCTTGCTTATGAAGTATTAAGTACACTAAAACAGGATTAAATAGAGACTATATAGGTTCTCTATAAATAGCAGACACTTATTAAGGAGTGTCCTTTGAAAAAATATATATTAAAAATATATATAAATAGATTACTTATTCTTTAGTGTAACCAGTTACCTTTATAGCTTTAAAAATAACTGATTGAAATGTACAGGTTTATTAGCTGAAGCCTTAAAAACACAAGAAAAGCTGCAGCTTCCACTAGAGCACAGTAAAAGCTGCACTTCATGACTTTAGCCACAAGATGGCGCCGCTGTTGTAACAGTGCCCTGTTCACCGCTTCGAAAAAAAAACACGAACAAAAATGCATAATAAAATAATAAATATTTTTTTTATAATATAATAACTTTATAATTAAATAATAATAAAAAATAATTAGAGATAAGTCGAAAAAAAAGCGCCTAGATATCCAAACGCGCTAAACCGGAAGTGAAGTTCGAACTACAGGAAGTGCGTGTACATGGCGCCAAGTGTGAGATTGTTATGGAGTTCGCTCGCAGAGAGCAGTGATTACATTTATAAGGATTATATTTACAGTGCATTCCTGCGAGTAAAAGTGGAATGTTTTGGTAGTTGTAGTTGTAATGTATTTTTATGAGGGCGTTGAACAGTATTAAAGCGTTAAGCGGTGTTGTGTTTGTTGGGAATACAGTGTTAGAGAGACAGTGTGGAAAAGCGCAGAAGCCAAAGTGCGCCATTTTAGCGGATTGAGGCTGAGAGCTGTGTGTGTGTGTTTACTGTCATGTGGAATAATGTTGAGCTGCTGCTCAGTGAGGACTCGAGCACCGTGCGGCTGTGCGGGGAGCAGGAGCCCGCCAGCGCCTTGTACCAGGTGGACACTCTGCTGAAAATCTCCGCCTCGGAAAAGGTAACGAGCTTCATCAACTTTCTGACATTTTATCCCTCAATTCATCACTGGAACATTCAGTATAAAAGACTGTAAGCTAGTTGAAGCTCTTTAACCTTCATTGTCATGTGATTCTTGAACCAAAACATCACTTCAAATACATAATTTACTGTTTACAGCTATGAAAATACATTACTTCACTATTCTCAAAGGCATTTCTACAATCCGAGATATACAGTCAGGTCCATAAGTATTTGGACAGTGACACAATTCCCAACACAAGTCAAGAACACTCTGGAGGAGGTATGCGTATCACTGTCAAAGTCTACAATCAAGAGACGCCTTCATGAATGTAAATACAGACGGTTTACCTCAAGATCCAAACCACTGGTAACACTCAAGAACAGAAAGGACAGATTAAAAAAGCTCTCTATATATATAAAAAATCCTGACCAGTTCTGATGCAAGATTAACTTGTACCAGAATGATGGGAAAAGAAAAATATGGAGAAGGAAAGGAAGGGCTCATGATCCAAAGCAAACCACATCATCTGTCAAACATGGTGGAGGCAGTGTTATGGCATGGGCATGTATGTTTGCTAATGAAACTGAGATACTGGTGTTTAATGATGATGTGACTGCTGATAGAAGTAGCAGGATGAATTCTGAAGCGTATAGAGTTGTACTCTCTGCTCAGATTCAGTCAAATGCTGCAAAACTGATAGGACAGCGCTTCACAGTACAGATGGATAATGACCCAAAATGAACCATTGAGAGCAACCCAAGAGCTTGGAAATGGATTGTTCTTAAATAGCCGAGTCAGTCGCCTGATCTCAACCCAATTGATCATGGTTTTCACTTACTGAAGACAAATCTGAAGGCAGAATGACCCACAAACAAGCAGCAACTGAAGGTGGCTGCAGTAAAGGTCTGGCAAATCATCTCCAGGGAGGAAACTCAGCATTTGGTGATGTCCATGGGGTCCAGACTTCAGGCAGTTATTGACTGCAAAGGATTTGCATCCAAGTATTAAAAATACTCCTAATCTTTATGATTATATTAGTTTGTCCAATTACTTTTGAGCCTGTGAAAATGGAGGAACTCTGTAAAAAATGGCTGTTATTCCTAAACAGTTAATGCAATATTTTTGTTAAACCCCTTGAATTAAAGCTGAAAGTCTACACTTCAATCACATCTTGATTGCTTCATTTCAAATCCACTGTGGTGGTGTACAGAGGAAAAATTACAAAAATTGTGTCACTATCCAAATACTTATGGACCTGACTGTATGTATATCACGCTATACAGTACAGTGGCTTTTTTTTGAAGTTAGTTTGTGATTATTAAAAAATGAAATAACGACATCCATGATATCTCAGAAAAGCATACTGTGAGATAATTTATCACAATATCAATATTATATCATCATATTGCCCAGCCCTAATACACACTTTCATACAACAGTCAAAAATCACACTTGTTAAGAAAATAAATAAATAATAAATAATGTTTAATGAAATATGATTCATGAACGTGCCTTTAGTTTAACATATTCCTTTACTGATTCCTGACTTTATTGATGATTATTACAGTAGTTTTCAAAACAGCATCTTTTTCCTTTGAATATTTGAGATTTTGGTCATTTCTGTTTCGCTGGAGATGTGTAAGTGCAAAATTCTGCATTGCAGAGTCTCTTTATACATCCCACTGTATGTCACTAGGACTGTTGTGTATATGATAACCTAGTTTAAATGTGTCATGGCATTAATCAACCTTTAAAAAAACAAACAAATCAGTGGTGAAAATTAAAGGGAAAATTTACTGCAAATTCTTTACACTCTTGTGTATATAACAAAAACCATAATGAGACAAAATAATCAGATCAGATCTTTCTTAGGAAGATATTTTTAAGAATGAACTTTCCATAAAATCTTAGACTGTAAGTATTTATCATGTTGTCATTATTTTATTTACGTGATTTTATTTATGTACATTGTGCTGCTGACACATGATTGGCTGATTGGCTGATTGCATGAATGACCAGTTGTACACGTGTTCCTAATAAAGTGGACATTGAGTGTGTATGTTACTGTAATGTTTGTATCATGGTCTGACCATGCAGAGTGAAACAAAATGAGGCGACTATCTAACTCTTAATTATAGACTTTAGTTGATTTATACCAAGAGTAAGCAGTTCACACCAACACTGTGGGGGCATGCTGTTATAGGAAATGAATCAACGACAGGGTGGTGCGATTTGGCCAATACGACGCCAATGTCAGAGTTGACTCCTATAACAGCATGTCCTGAAGTGTTTTATTCCTCTTATACAGCAGCAATTCACCAACATTAAGATTTTTTTTATTTATTAAACAACAGCACATCCTGCTTTTGAACCAGTTCCTCTTGTTTGGTGAATATTTATCTAACTAACTAACTGTTTTTTTTTTTTTTTTAGGTACCGTCTAACTCCAGGATCTACGCCTTCAGTAATGCGAATTGCTGCGTCGTTGTGGCTGACAGCACCGTGGTCCTCTTTGACCCCAGTTTCCAGACCGTTCTGCATCACCTGTATTTCGGTAAACGCACCCACAGCCATCATGCCACCTCACGTCTGAAAACCAGAACATGGCACTGGATAGTAATTTATTCATTCGATAGTTACAGAAGTCACATTAGATTTAGGATCAAGACAAACAGGAGTTTTCTGACTATGTAGCAAGATCTGATCATAATGTACAGTTCTGTGCAAAAGTCTTAGGCACATGCAGAGAAATGCTGTAGAGCAAAGAAGCCTTCAGAAATAATGAAATTAAATGTTTCTACATTAAAAAAAATACTATAAAGAGCAGTAAACAGTAATAAATGAAACAAAGTCAATATTTTTTTAAAAAAAACAGTAGTCTCAGGTACAGTGTGTGCAGTTTTATAAGGAAATGAGCTGTAAGTGTTACTGAGTATCTTGCAGAACCAGCCACAGTTCTTCTGGAGACTTTGACTCTCACACTTGCTTCTTATTTTTGCAGCGAAACCCAGCAGCCTTCATTATGTTTTTTTTTGTCTGAAAAGTGTCTCTTATGTAATCTGCTGCTTTCTTTACTGACATACAAACATTTTTTTCTGTAATATTTAATTTTGTGCTGGAAAACTAATGTTAGGAATCTAAAACGTTTTTCTACTGAATCAATAATGTAGAAATCATAAAATAAAAATCTATAACGAAGTTTGTATTAAAAAAAAAAAACTAGGGTGCCTAAGACTTTTGCACAGTACTGTATATCAGTATAATCATGAGACATCTGAGTGTTGCTAGTAGTAGGTGTCTATTACTAATACAGTCAGTAAAGTGAAACTGATTAAAAGCCGTGTGTGCGTTGTGTGCAGATACATTAGTGGATGCCGTGAGTGTTTGTCCTCAGGGACAATTCTTGTTCGTCGGTGAGAGAAGCGGCAGCCTTCATATTATATACATCCCTCTGAAGAAGACCATCCTGAGTAAAGTAAGTGTGTCACGAATATCATCTTCAGGTAAACATGTCCGTATGATGAAGCATTCAGCGTTCTCAGCTCCATTACTGTTGATTTAAGAATGTTGTTTAATACTTTAATAGCTATTTAATAGTGCATTGTTAGATTACACAATTTTTTTTTCTTCAGGCTCTACAGCAGCATCCATCAAATGGTCACGAAACAACCTACAAGAGCCTCATACTACACGAAGCACAGAGCTCTCCAGGTGCCTTGAGAACTGGAACATATTACTGCTGTCTGTTTTTTAAGAACATTTGATATCAACCCAGAATGACCTCATG